TCGAGGCTGCACGTACATGCACATGGACTGGGGAGGGCATTTAAGCCCCACCATTTAACATACCCATTAGTCTCACCCCACCCCTTCACTTACCTACGGAGGAAGGATCTGCAAGAGATGTTCAAGGGACTATATCCTCAACTTTTCTTAGCTGCAAAGCATCTGTTTCAGCTATTTTGACCAATCTGGTCATGATGTAGGTCAACCACATGTTCTTCTTTGCACACATTTTAGATGGCAGTGTACAGTCTCCAGACCCTTCCTCTGGCTCTGCAGGTAGTCAAGGGGCGTGGCAAAACTAAATACCCATAAATGTATAAAACAGACAATTTACTTTATATATTTACCTTACTTGAAGAGATTGAAGTAATGAAGAGAATGAAGGCAAATTGAAGCATAAATACAAAACTCTGTGGATAAGTAATTAATAAAAGTTATTTAAGTTTATCATTTTACAATAATTTCTCTCACTTCAAGAGAATCTTGGTGTAAGCAGGGGCGTAGCTGAGGTAGGGCCTGAGGGGGCCTGGGCCCTACCGTCAAAGTGCCCTTATAATTAAATTCATTGAAATTATAACCCAAAAGATTATATTCATTGTTTTTACAATAACAAAAGGGGGTGGTTGATAACCATAGCACTTTTTAAAGCTATATACAATGATAAATTCACTCTGATTTCGCTCAGCTTGCAGGAAAATGCCTCCATTTTGTTACGTAAAAAGGATATGGCCAAAATCGTGGCGCGCGAAACGCGCCATTTTGTCTCCTTGCCCTACCATCACCCAAGGTCAAGCTACGCCCCTGGGTGTAAGTATTAGACAGGGTGTTTAGGCAAGCACATCATCTCAATCTCATCATAGATCAGTCAGTATTAGGAGTCCCCATTGAATAATACTTAGCATGCGCAGTTGGATGCATCAAAATGGCGTCCAACCACTTGGAGAGTCAATATGTCCTTGAAAATGATGACAAAATCATTTTGTAGAATTACAATGCCAAGCCACACTGCACTAGCATCCCTGAAGTGCAACACAATGGTGCAAAAATCATATTTCTAGGATAAAAACTGTAGGACTAGTTCTTCCTTAACTGTGGAAGAAGGAGAAACCTGAACATTTGGTGCATGCATGCATTCATTTGCAGTATAACTATCTTATGGAAGTTTTTAACTACTTTTTATAACACTAACCTGTTCTAATAAAATTATAAAGGACATCCTGACTGTCAGATAAGCCATAAAGAATTCCTGAAGATTTACACTGGCTCAATGCTTCCCCTGGGATGGCAGCCATTTTGGGGGTGCGCTCGTCCAACCATACAAACAGCAAACACAAATGTTGTCGTGTCTGTATATCTAT